ACAATAGAAACAAACCATTCATTCTTCAGCTCAATAAAGATTAAAATCTAATTTTAGTGCTTACGTTACAAAGCCTAAAATGTCGTCTTTCTAAATATCGTCTAACCGATATAATATTTCAAGTCCTTTATTATATAATTATAACTAGAGTCAGTTGAAGAATGAACTCGCACCACTACCTTACTGCTGGTAGAGAATCTTGTTAGCCCGCACTGGTAGGTAGACCACCACTCTGCCTATTTCTGCCGTGAAGCAGTAATGCGTTTCGATTTGAAGGGTAGGGTGGCTTTTAAAAACTCTGACTTAAATTTTTTGTCTCGTGGGATTCGGTAGCCGCTTAATACCTGGAGAGCCGTGAGATCGTTCATCCATCTACGCAATAGAAAAAAAAAGTAGTTTTTTTATTTGTAAGATGGATGGACGAGTTATAGGCTCACCAGGTGTTAAGTAATTACCGAAGCTCATTACTATCCCAACGTGTATCTATCTAACTAATCTGTGTATCTACCTAAATAATCTAAAATCTATCTCGAGACATGTGATCCAAAGTTCAATTGCAAATAACTGTCCCACCCTTCAAATGAGAGAACATGCAATTTCTTCGCGGCAGAACAAGGTCAAAGTGGTCATACATATGTCGGGGGGCGGCGGGGTTTTGGTTAATAAAATCGACGCGTCTACGATTAAAAAGTCTTTTTTTTTCATTCGATCGCATTCGATTTCAAATGGCAATCCTAAATAGATGGAGTTGTATTGGTGCGAATAAAATATATTTTTATACCTACGACCTACGACTTACGACCTACGTCCTACGACCTACGTCCTACGACCTACGTCCTACGACCTACGTGCTACGACTAAAAAAATAAAGTATCGGCTCGGTATTAACAGTACCTTTCTTCCTTGCATTAAGTAAGCGAGAGGCTGATCTGCCTTGTTTGATAAAACAAGGCAATTTCAAATAGACTAATACTGGATTGAGTTACCTAAAAAAACTTTTTTTTAAATTTTTTTATTGCTTAGATGTGTGGACGAATTCACAGCCCACCTGGTGTTAAGTGGTTACTGGAGCCCATAGACATCTACAACGTAAATGCGCCACACACCTTGAGACACAGTTCTAAGGTCTCAGTATAGTCACAACGGCTGCCCCACCCTTCAAACCGAAACGCATTACTGCTTCACGGCAGAAATAGGCGGGGCGGTGGTACCTACCCGTGCGGACTCACAAGAGATCCTACCACCACTAATTTATGAAAATTCATTCTTTTTGAGAAGCCAAATGAGCATACGGCCGACCTGATGGTGAGTGGTTATCCGCCGCTCATGGACATCAATGCAAGGGGCAGAGCTAAGCCGCTGCCTACCTTTAAGTACTCTCCCTAAGCCTCGTTTGAAGAAAGTATTAATTGCATTTATAATATTACACAATTATATAATATGTAGTTGAATACATCAGGGTTGACGAAAGAAATGAATTCTGTTTTAATTTTAGAAGCAATTCAATTGAAATTATATTATTTTCTTAAATTTTAACGCACGGTTACGCGTGTGCTAGTTTTGAAAATTTGCCACAAACTACATTCACATTTCATATTCTTAAAACAAGGTTTGAAGAGAAGTATTCGATCGTAGGCATCGGATCGGTCGTGCTTCTGTCATTACTAACGTTAATGAGAAACGGTCATCAATTATTATCGCATCAAGACGCATCAAGTCTGCCCCTTCCAACACGACCACGTGACGATCACGACCACTCTGTCAAGAGTTACACGATTGAGAAGAAGAAGAAGAAGAAGAAGAGCTGTACGCTTCTCTACCTTCAAAAGCGGTCCAATATTGCGTCGTAACAAACGTACTAAACCACATCCTCGGTGAGATTGTTAATTACTGAACGCCTCTCTATAAGGAATACAAAAATTCAACGTAAGCACAGAGTTGAAACAAAAATCAAATGCCATACAAAAGCATCTCAACAAAAATGCAACAGGTCCTCTCCCTCCCCCTGCCGACTTAACGTTGTAACTCACACATCGTCGAGTCTGGATCCTTTACTCACTACGCACATACACGCAAACGCTCCAAAGAAAGAGCAAAGGAATGGTTGCCTTAGACAAACATTGGCACAACTTGTAGATTAGACTCGCACCGAAACTGGGCTTCGTGACGTCATCGAGCCGGAAAACTATGACGTCACGTGAATTTTTATACGATGGTCGTAGTGTTAAAGCAACTAGATTGATCCGACAAAAAAAAAACACTTTCAGTACTAAGCATTTTGCGTGGTCCTTTACTGGTGGTATGACGTATTGCGAGTCCGCACAGGTGGGTACCACCACCCTGCCTATTTCTTCCGTGAAGCCGTAATGCGTTTCGGTTTGAAGGGTGGGGCAGCCGTTGTACTGTAAAAACTGAGACCTTAGAACGCATGTCTCAAGGTAGGTGGCGGCATTTATTTTGTAGATGTCTATGGGCTCCGGTAACCACTTAAGATCAGGTAGGCCGTGAGCTCGTCCATCCACCTAAGCAATAAATCAATAATAAGAATATTAGTTTGCAAACTTGACGTTTTACAAAGATTTATTATTTGTTTTAATTGCTTAGATGTGTGAAAGAGAGGCATATATAATACATTACATACATCGGACGAAAATAATGAATGAATGAAGTTCATTACCTAGACCACCTCTAATTTAATATTAATTCTATTATTTAATTCGTCCACCGTTTGATACATAACCATAGCCTCAGAATACACAAGATTTATATTCATTTTATATATTACAATTTCTCTTTTGTGCTGCTATTGAAAAAAATCCTTTTGAAGTTTCGGAAAAACAATGAGAGGTATAATTTTTCTATTGGTAGCACTAGAGATCGTCAATAGCTAAAAACAACAAAAGAACGAAAGTTTGTTGACAAACAGAGAAAAAACAAAGTTCTTCTATTCACATATTTTTTACTGGTGATAGGACCTCTTCTGAGTCCGCGCGGGTAGGTACCACCTTGCCTATTTCTGCTGTGAAATTGTTGTTGATGCTATTGAAAGTTCATTGGTACTTTACAAAACTATGTTCTTCGAAAGAGATTTGACTTTGTCTACTGTAGCATCTGAGCACGGTAGAACTAACAGAGAAGCTAATGATGCTCATTATTTTGCGAGTACGTCGTCTCATTAGAGAAAGAGGGAGCAAAACAAAAGAGAAGTCGCTCTATCAAAACCAGGTGCACGAAATTTAGCCACATTTTTGCCTTCACATGTGTTTCAGGCTTCTACCATTTTCAGTTGGGGACTCTTCGGAAAAAGACTACGACAACTAGTAATCGAGTGACAGGAGGTTGCGTTGCGACTGGGAGATTCCGATCCTCGTGGCGTCAATTATATTAAGCATAGTCGTGAGAACCCAAGCTGTTTTTTTTTTCTAAAGGAATTTGACATCCGATTTGATTATCCATTTTCGATTAACCTCGTTGAATGTACACTTTAACTGTCAATTCAAATAAGTTCCTCTTTATGGTAACACATTCATGTAATATTGAGGGACGCTTGACTGCTCTGTAGTTTGTATCTTGTACCACAATAGGCGAGTGGTATACACCAAACTGGTGGTAGGATCTCTTGTGAGTCTGCGCGGGTGGGTACCACCACCCTGCCTATTTCTGCCGTGAAGCAGTAATGCGTTTCGGTTTGAAGGGTGGGGCAGCCGTTGTAACTATACTTGAGACCTTAGAACTTATATCTCAAGGTGGGTGGCACATTTACGTTGTGGATGTCTATGGGCTCCAGTAACCACTTGACACCAGGTGGGCTGTGAGCTACCCATCTAAGCAATAAAAAAATAATAAAAAAAACCCGTTGCACCACGGACGCTTATTCTTAGTGTTGTGACCTAATTAACTTAAAACAAGTCGATTAAGTATCTTTCTTTCTAACTAGCTATCATAGCGTATTATATCAGTCGCTATCAAACGTAAAGGACACGATGAGTATATGCATCACGCAAATATTTAATTATCGTAAATGATACCATATTGAATGATTGTAAGTAATCATATTGTTTATTATTCTAATAAATAAACTCTTGGAGTCGAATATTTAGTGTTCTAGACTATATTGAAATAATTCGTTTTCTTTTATAATGATTTTTTTATAATATCAAATATTTAAAATTGCTTAAAATTACAGCTGCACTACATATTTATTGCGGTAATTTTTAAATAGAATCTAGAATATCAAAGATCGTGTACTATTTTCAATCATATTGTTATATCAGCTGACGAAAGGAATATTAAAGGATTTATGTTTTTGTTCTTAATTAATATCCTGCAATATTCGGCGGAACATTGCACAGATTATTTCCGATACACAATGAAACTGCAATGAATTTAACAAGAAAATCAAATTCTGTTATAGAAATCATTGTCCACCTTTATAAAATATCATGAAGATAGATATTGCGAATATTTATTTTGATATTTAAAACATATATAAAACGTTACACTTTTGACTTTTGCACTATTTTGCATAATATCGTAACGCATGTCTTCAAGTGTACAGATATCTTAAATGAGTAATGTACGCGTGCCATTATTTTTTGATGATAGTAAAAAATAATGTATTTAAACTTCTTTAAACCAGGGTTTTAGGGGATGTAGCGTTCAGACTGCAGGGACCTCAAAACTTGAAGTGGAAATCTTTTATTGATTAGATGGTTGGACGAGCTCACAGCCCAACTGATGTTAAGTGGTTACTGGAGCCCATAGACATCTATAACGTAAATGCGCCACCCACCTTGAGATATAAGTTCTAAGTTCTCAGTATAGTTACAACGGCTACCCCACCCTACAAACCGAAAGGCATTATTGCTTCACGGCAGAAATAGGCAGGGTGGTACCTTCCCAATGCGGACTCACAAGAGGTCCTGCCACCAGTAACAAATCTTTAAGAGGTTCGTTGTTTCACAGGTCAATGGTGATGTATGTTGATTAGGAGGACTTACTTCGGCTTGGTGTACGGAGATCCCGGCGAGGTCACCTTGTGGTTCTTGTTGGGGTGCGTGTGTCGGTTCGCGTTTGTGTCGAGGCCGCCGCCCGGCGATATCTTGCCGGCGAGTGCGTTCAGTGAGTGCAACATAACGGGCGGCGGCCGCCTTGTTCCAAGCAGCCTGGTCACGCTGGTGATCCGAAAACGATTGTCGTCAGCGTGCAGGGCCACGGCGCCTTATCTCCTGATAAGAGGCGCGGGGGCACACTCGCCCCCCGCCTCATCCCACCTGACACTATCACACCAGCACACACACACACGCACGTAGCAAATGTTCGCTTTTAAACGCGACGGGTCAGCGTCCTGTCCGATTTAGGCATGTTTCGAGCATTTTTTCATATCTATGTTTATGTTTATTATTATTATTTTTAGCACTGACTTATTTTCGGACACCAACTTGTTTTTTTATGTTTATAATATCACTCTGGTTTCACTGTTTTGAATTGATTTAATTAGAGAATAGCTTGCGATGTTCAGCGTCCGATACAAAAATATTAAAGCAAAAAAAAAACGTATTTGTCAGAAGATGCGGGTACAAAATATTACGCACGTATATTTTATCTAAATGAAACACGAAATACGGTTCACGCAAATGATTTAGTGGCAGCGAAATGAAAACAATCTGAAGCCATCGCGCCTATTACGAGCGCCAGGGAAAAGCTAAGCTTAGCGCAATAAATATAAAAAAAACAAGGTGTTAACATTTACAATAACAAAAAAAAAACGCCTGAACAAAAACGAATAGCAACAAAAGGTGTATCCGAGAGCTCACCCTAATGAAATATGTGACCGCAGGCGGTTCAGAAATAAGCGTTACGTTTTTTTTTCTTTTTGCCTTATTCCCATTCAACTTATTAAATATTCGCCAAAAAAATGAAACTGTCTCAAATAAGCTGTCGCCTTTTTGTTATTTTCTTCATTATAAAACGGATATTGCTTGAGTTATGTCACAAGACACGGCCTCCAGACTTATGATGCTCATTCTCGTTACAGTTTAATAACAACATTCAGAGACTACATCTTGTTAGAATGCGTGTGCTACTTTATGAGCGACGCTTATAAAAAAAAAAACGTAATATAATCTTAGTATTTTCATATATTATGTTCTGTTACTAAAGTAACTAGACGATAATTTTTTTGATAACGCCATCTTGTTGTGTCTTTAAAGCGGCTAGTTGCCCTCAATTAAGAAAAATAGTATTATTATTCGCCAATAGATGTCGGAAAGAGTTGATTATTGAAAACACGAATAAAACAACATTTTCTGAAAATAAATCGTAGCTAGATCGATTTATCGCCCCCGAAATCCCCTGTATACCTACAAAATGTTATGAAAATCGTTGGAGCAGTTTCCGAGATTCAGATTATATAAGTATATATTAATATACAAGAATTGCTCGTTAAAAGGTATAAGATAGATCAAGCACTTATCCGAGCACAATTTAATGATAAAATGTCGATTTGAATGTCGAACGATTGAATTGTAGGTTTTTTTTTCGCATTGATGGATGGGAGAGCTCACAGCCCACGTGGTGTTAAGTGGTTACTGGAGCCCATAGACATCTACAACGTATATGCGCCACCCACCTCAAGATAATAATATAAGTTCTAAGGTCTCAGTATAGTTACAACGGTTACCCCCACCCTTCAAATCGAAACGCATTACTGCTTCACGGCGGAAATAGGCGGGGTGGTGGTACCTACCCGTGCGGACTCCCAAGAGGTCCTACCACCAGTGATTACGCAAATTATAATTTTGCGGGTTTGATTTTTATTACACGATGTTATTCCTTCGCCGTGGAAGCCAATCGTGAACATTTGTTGAGTACGTATTTCATTAGAAAAATTGGTACCCGCCTGCGGGATTCGAACACCGTTGCATCGCTACATACGAATGCACCGGACGTCTTATCCGTTAGGCCACGACGACTTCAAAGCATATCTACTAGCACTAGCACTAGCATATCTTTATATATATATTTCTTCTGTGCGTGCTTGTCACTGAACTCCTCCTAAGCGGCTCGACCGATTTGAATGAAATTGCGCCTTGGATGGCTTAGATTCACAAATCGGCCCGGCAGATGGCGCTGCAGTCGTTATCTAGGTTAATTTATCTTTCCTAGAAATCATTTATAAATCAAAACGTTGGCCGGGTCAGCTAGTGACCGATATAAATAATAGGAAAAGAATTTTCGAACAAACTCTGCATTTGAAATTATTAAGATTTTTCATTGCCTAGGCGAAAAATTCATAATGATAAAATTCAATAACAAAAAGCTATTTGTGAACTTCGAAATTTTTAGAAACACTATCTAAAATATTTACTTGTTTACTGTCAAATTTTTATTTATTACTTATTATTGATATAAAAATAATTAGGTATGTTTGTATTTCAAAACTAAAATCTGAGTACGTCAATCTTTTGAATGTATTTTTTTTTCTAAAGCACCACTTTAAATTGGTTTATAGATAATCATAGGTAGCACAGAAGAAAAAAAATTCGGTTGTCTGTAAAGTTGGTTTACTGACGATAGTCGCACGTGACAATGTCATAAGAAAATACTGATGGAATGGTTTCATTTTTCAATTATCGCAATTATCGTTGCTATAAACAATTGACACCACATTCACTTTTCACTGAACTTCATACTTGACGAAAACATGTAAATGTATTATTGTATAGCAGCTGTCCACGCGGATGCATCGCTCACTCAAGTAGGAGAGAGACAGATGTCGAACGCTGCCGAACNTGTCATAAGAAAATACTGATGGAATGGTTTCATTTTTCAATTATCGCAATTATCGTTGCTATAAACAATTGACACCACATTCACTTTTCACTGAACTTCATACTTGACGAAAACATGTAAATGTATTATTGTATAGCAGCTGTCCACGCGGATGCATCGCTCACTCAAGTAGGAGAGAGACAGATGTCGAACGCTGCCGAACGCGGTGGCCGATTATGCCTTTTTGTCGCTCGTTGCGCGCTCTCCCTTGCACTTCAAATGGAACGCCTCAGAGCGAGGTAACGCCGCATGAGTCATGTTTTTTTGTGCGTGCAGCCGGCTCCATCGAATTATAAGACGTTGTCACATCAAAAATATCTGCCTAGTACTAAGACCCTTCGCGTAAAATAGCTGTCGCTCAGACAAAGAGGCAGCGAACGACATTGTTACGAGCTCCGATTGTGTAACTCTATCGAGTCCTGAAGTGTACGAAGTGGTAAAAAGTCGAAAAAGACAAGAAAGAAGAATTACTTGTGGTAGGACATCTTGTGAGTCCGCACGGGTAGGTAACACCACTATTTCTGCCGTTAACCAGTAATGCGCTTCGGCTTGAAGCGTGGGGCAGCCGTTGTAACTATACTGAGACCTTAGAACTCACATCTCTAGGTGGCATTTACGTTGTAGATGTCTATGGGCTCCTGTAACCTCTTAACATCAGATGGGCTGTGAGCTCATCCACCCATTTAAGTAATAAATAAATAAAACTAAACCTCTAATCAGTTTTTCGTGTCGAGAGCATTGTATAGGAATAATCATGTTTGCACGAACTCGTGGTAATAAAAGATTTTCCTAATTATGTGTATGTATTTATAAAAATATGATATAATAATATACCTAAAGTAATTTCGGGTGAATTTTATCTGATTGTGTTACACCGTATCGAGGGTAGGGACTGCGTCCGACGCGAGTGCAATGTTTACTAATAGCTTTATTATAGTCCGTCGGATACTTTATACTAATTGGGTCCGTCTTTAATGCGTTATCGTGAACAGTGCGAGGCAGCATATTGGAGGTCTGATCACAGACACTAGACATGAACAGCTGTTTTGACGTAACGTATCTATAGTTTTTTTTTTCCTACCTAAGCTGATAGCCTTGAGAGGCTATATCAGCGTCGCCTTAACTAGTAGATGAGCTCACGGGGCTCAAACCTGACGACGTTGCTAACACGAACCCTAGCAAGAGCCGTGCTTCGCAGAATCTACCACCGGATCGGAAACGCGACCCACTGAGAAGATCCGGCGAGAAACTCAGTGGATTGTGTTTGAGGGTCAATTTACTCGTCGAGCCCTTCGTCGCAAAAATCGGGAATGTAGTTACCGGCGGCCACGATGAGAGGGTTCTCGTGTTGTCCCGCTTTATTGAAGTGTAATTTTTATTAACCTGGTAAACTTTATTGCTATAGCCGGCTTAGTGTGACTGATTGGTGCCACCAGCATGCCTAGAGATGAAACCTTAACTTGTTGCATAGTACGCGCCAAGCAAAGCTACGAGTATTCCAGAGGGTTGAATGAATAATTTTTGGAACGAAGTTCCTTGGCGATGCGGAAGAGTACCCTAACCGGGAAAAACGTCCGTAACGTAAGATTTTTATTAGTAATGCACACAGTGTACGACTTAACTTTGTAATAACGTACAAAAAATAACATTTTTTTATCATTAATTATTTATTGTCTTTGTACCTCGAATAGAACTTAAAATTAATATTTTTATAATAAGGAACTTCGTTCCTATCCGGTGTCCCACGACACCACACATCTTTTTTTTCAATGTTTGTGCTACGATAAATAGTAATCATAGAATACACTTAAATTAGTTATAGATAAGCAAGTCAAGCACTCAACAAAAATGTTTGCGGGCATCGGCCACTAGATGGCTTCGCTTCGATTAGTTTCTCATTGTTCCTGTAGGATAGATTATATTGAGTAGATTGATAAAATTTAGTAAATTTGTCTATAACAAATAAATACTTGTATGATTTATAAAAAAAATTAATTTCTGTATTAGAGCTATACAACAATTAAATGCCATGACTTTAACAACATATAAGTTTAGGGGCATCCGCTACAAGATATCGATAGTTTCCGTACAAAAAAAATAATATCTTAAAGTATCAGTTTCATGGCACTGCAGTAATAATAGATAGCAGTTTGCAAAAAAAAAAAAAAATTTGTACTTTGAACCTTAATATACTATAATTATAATATACTATAACTTAATATACTATAATAATACCATACCTTAAACTTTAAGGTGTACGCTTTAAGGTTTAAAGTATTAAAAACGGAACCTGAAAATTTATAATTCTTCAGTTACATTTTTGACGTTTACCAAAAAACAACAATTTTGAAATATGTCACTTCAATTCTAAAGGTGCGATATTGTAGTATATGCCATTAAAATTGTTCCTTTTTGTAATTATATATACGATAAATAATAAAAACAAACTAATTGTATAAAATATAACCGTACGTACGTAACATCGAAACATCGCGTTTTTATTATCGGCTCAAACAATAAATGACAGAACAGAGTCCGCAATTTACCCTGCAGTGGCTATTACGTGAGCACAAATCGAAGTTTTTTTTTCGCTATCGAGCGAAACAAATCGAAGACGTCACGAAAGGTTAAAAACGCAGGGTACAAGTCAGATTTCAGTCAAATAATACACAAGACTAAACGTTTTTCAGCTATTGCAGAGCTTTTATCGCGGGCTTTGAGCGCGGCGACCGAATCAAGAAATTCCGTAACGAAAATAAAACCTAACACCCC